CGCGCCACCGAGGCGATGGTCTGCACACAGTAGATCTCCTTCGCCCGCGTAGTGTTCATGTCCCACACCTTCACCATCTTATCCCGTCCGCCTGTTGCTAGCCAGCCCCTGGAGAAGGATGGAGGAGAGATGGTTAGATGCCAGCTTGGGCCAGGATCTGTGCTTGTTCATCTCCTCTTTCCCACAGTGGCACAGGAACACACACAACACAGACATGCCAACGGATTGTTCCTCTCACGTGCTGCCCTAACACCTCCACTCTCCAACAACCAGGTCAGGCAACACCTCTCCTTCCTGGCCCCATTTAAGGCCCCGCATCTTTGAGCCACGCTCATCTGAAGGGCTCCCAGACAGACCAGTTCCCCCTATCCCTAGTTTCCACTTGTCAGGGCCAGCAGATAGGGAAAAGGCCCAGTTATGAACAGACTTCAGGGCCTCTCTAAGCTCATGATGAGTTGCAGCACTGCCTGACAGGGAGCAAGGAGGGACCCACATACCACAACACACACCCCAACTGCCTCCAGGCAAAGGCAGGAGGGAAACACGATCAGACACAAGCAAGGCCTGACCAAACACAAGGAAGTGGTGTCCCAGAGCAGCCATGCAGTGCTCTCCCCAAACCCAGCACCCAAGCAAAAGCCTGCCCTGGTGTGGGGGCAAACCAGCAGCTTGCTATTCCCAAACATTCTGAGGCCCATCCAGGGCCAATCATCTGTCAAAAAACAAAGCCAAAACACCCCAACCCCTCCCCCCCAAATCCTCAAAGCGATCATTGCTCCCATCATCCATCAACAGCCCAGCCCCTGACACAAGGGGGCAGGGTATCAAGAGACCCTGCTTTTCCCCCAGCCCCATTTTTAGGGCCTCCCTCGCCTGTGCTGAGGCCGGAGAGCTGGCAGGGCCCAGCTCCAAACAAACCTGTCCTCTGGGTGCCAGTCGCAGCAGAAGACTGGTCCATTGTGGGCTGTGAACATCCTCTCATAGCGGTCGGGCCGGCGGATGTCCCATAGCTGCACGTTCCCGTTCTCAAAGGTGGCAGCAAAGGTGAAGTAGTCCCGGATGCTGAACTGCACGTCCCGCACACTCTCCGACTGGCCTGAGTGGGCACAGAGGGTGAGGTGTGCTGGGACAAGCTTCAGCAAGGCTAAAAACCCCACTGGAACAGCCATGGGGGTCCCCAGCCCAGGGAGGAGAGGAAGCAGGGAGTGATGCGGCCACCTTCAACCTCCCTGCAGAGCCAGCCCACTGAGCAGCCAAAACCGTCAGAATCATGGAATGGTTTGGATTGAAAGGGACCTTAAAGCTCATCCAGTCCCAACCCCCTGCCACGGGCAGAGACACCTTTCACTAGACCAGGTTACTCCAAGCCCCATCCAACCTGGCCTTGAACACTGCCAGGGATGGGGCAGCCACAGCTTCTCTGGGCACCCTGTGCCAGCGCCTCAGCACCCTCACAGGGAAGAGCTTCTGCCTAAGAGCTCATCTCAGTCTCCCCTCTGTCAGGTTAAAGCCATTCCCCCTTGGCCTGTCCCTACAGGCCCTTGTCCAAAGCCCCTCTCCAGCTTTCTTGGAGCCCCTTTACGCACTGGAATGCTGAAAAAAAACCACCAAAAAGCTCCTCCCTGCCTGCTCCAGACACCCACTCCTGAGCAAAGCCTCCCCCTGGGAACAGGGAAAGGGCAAAGCCACAATCTCTGCCTCTCAACAGAGTAAGGGGACAAATAACAGCCCATGCTCCTACCAGAGAAGGTGCTGACAGAGTCCTTCTTGCGCAGGTCGAAGCACTTCATGTAGCCATCCTGGGAGCCGCTGAGGAGCATGTAGACCTCGGTGGGGTGGAAGCAGACCTTGTTGACGGTGCGCTTGTGCTCTGTGAAGAGCTGGTCCTGCTTGTTGCGGGACGGCTTGCCCAGGTTCCAGGTGACCACCACGCCATTGGTGGCAGCAGTGGCAAGCAGGTTCTCGTCCATCTGGTGCCACACCACATCGGCGCAGCTGAAGTTCAGGGAGGGTTTGCGGCCGACGCGGAGGTTCAGCTTCTCCACAAACTGCTCCTCCTCGATGGAGTAGATCTTGAAGATGTTGCGGCCGGCCACCACCACCTGGGCAGCATCGCGGCACACGCTGATTGCATTGGCAGGGGCGTCCAGGTGACAGAACATGGTCCGGCCTGTCAGGGCATTGCCCCCCAGGGCCGTGGTGACCCTGGCCATCTTCTCCATGGCTGTCCTTGGGGCGCACTCCCCTCTCCAGGAGCTGGCTCGGAGGCTCGTGTCCTCACTGGCTGCATTCACGCTCGCACGGCTGCCCTGCTCCACCTCAGCCAGAGCTGGGAAGGGACAGGTTCGGCTCCCGTGGCTCCTGGCAGTACCAGGCAGCTCCAACCACAGCTTTTTGTAGCCACATCAACAGGAGGTAAGAGGCTAAAGCCTGGCTGAGACCTGTGGGAACAGAGATATGGCCCCACACTGGGCTTCTCCTCCTCTCCTCCTGCTGCCTTCTGTAAGTCCCTCCCAGAGAGTTCCTGAAACCCTTCCTGGGTTCCTGGTTCCCTTCTTACTTCAGTGATTGTTGGTGACACTACGGGATGTCGACTGCAGTGTCGTGGGCTGAAGGTGAGCAGAGTCTCCAGCAGGAGGTTGAGTCATCTCCATGAGGCGTTCCTCGTGCCCCAAACCCCTGCAGGAGGCAGAGGGGCTCACCCTGCTTGCTAGCAGAGGGGCCAGCAGCTCCCCTTGGGCACCGGAGCGAGCCAGGGTGCTGGCCAGCTGCTTCGGGATGGCCAAAGGCCACCACAAACCAACCGCCCCCGAGCCAGGCTGAGCCCCTGCCCTGGCATTGCACCTTCCCCCCCCCAGTTCCCCTGAGCCCACACTCCCCCTCCTCAGGGCTCGCCCCTGACCCACAGCCACTTCAAGGCCTCCTCAGGACCCCTTCTAGGTTGCTCAGAGCCTCCTAAGGGCTCCCTCTTGGCACTCAGGGCCCCCTCATAGCCCGATCCTGCCCCACAGCCCCCTCAGGGCCCCTTCAGACCTCTCAGAGCCTATTCCGGGTCCTCTGCCACGCTCAGTGCCCTCAGAGCCTGCTCAGTGCCCTCAGAGTCCCCCGACGCCGTACCCTATACTCGGCCACAGCCGACGCCGCCGACACGGAAACGAGCGCCGGGCCACGCCCCCTTCCGCCGGGCCACGCCCCCTTCCGCCGGGCCACGCCCCCTTCCGCTGGGAAGGTGCGCGCGTCCCATCCCAAGCCCTGCCCGTAATTCGCCCCGTGCCCCGCGGCGCGGAACGGGGGGAGCGGGGGGAATGGGGTGAATTGGGGGGTGCCGAGGGGAAATCGGGGTGCTGAGAGGTATGGGGGTATCATGGGGACATATGGGGAGAACTGGGGTGGGGATGTCAGGGGGACGCGGGGTGCAGTGTTTGGAGGTACCGTGGAGAGAAAGGGGGTGTCAGGAGGGTATGGGGTGCGTTGGGGTGAGAGTGCAGTGGGGGAATGGGAGTGCTGGGGAGATACGGGATGAATTGGGTGTGGGAGTGCAGGGGGAAAATGGGGGTGTCGGTGGGATATGGAGTGCATTACGGGTGGAGGTACACGGAGGGGAATGAGGGTGTCAAAGGGATATGGGGTACATTGGGGATGCAGAGATACACTGGGGGGATATGGACTTGCACGGAGGTGTGGGGCTGCTTGGGGGGTTTGGAGGAGCTCTGGGGTATGGAGGTACACGAGGGTTTAGGGGTACATGGGAGCCTGATATGCAGGCAGTTACAGGGCTACACTGACGTGTAGGGGGTGAGAGTGCAAGGAGGGGGTGGGGGGCGTATGTGACTGCGCTGTCATGGAGGGCTGCAGAGGGGGGTATGGGGACACCCGAGCCCCAGTGCTGTGCCTGTTCTGGGGATGTGGGACCGTGGGGGTGAGCAGGGCTGACGACACTCCCCAACTGCAGCTGTCCCCTGCTGCTGTCTCCCCCTCCGTGGGGGGACCCTCCGTGTACCACAGCCCCGTCCCCAGCCCCTCACACCCATGTCCTACAGGCACCGGTGGGTTTTGGGGTTGCAGGCTGCTCCCTGCCCCACAGCCCCGGTGGCTCCAGACGCACCCCAAACCCTATTCCAAGGCCAAGAGGATTCTTTCACCATTTTGGGGCCAGAAAAGGGCATTTTGGACAAAGGAGGGAGCGGAGGCGGTGGTTGGTGCAGCAGTTCCTTCCCGGCCGGTACAAAGGCAAAACAAACCGAAAGCGTGTCCGTGTCCGTGCCCGTGCCCGTGTCCGTGTCCATGTCCGTGCAGGCAGCCGGTGTGGCAGCGGGGACGGCCACCGAGCCCCATCCCGCGCCAGGTCCCCGTGGTCACCCCAGCCCCGTGCCCGTGCTCTGCTCGTCCTCTGTCCCCCGCTTGCCGCCGGCGTCGGGTGATGGCTTTCCAGCTGGAAGCGTGCTGGCGGTGGCAGTGTGTCCCAAATGCCGCCTCCCACCTCCGCTCCGCGCTGCCGGTGTGTCCGCGGTGGCTCAGAGCTGGCCCTGGTCCCCTGGATGCGCCATCCCAGCCGAACGGGTCACTCGTCGGCGTCGATGTAACCCCACCAACCCCACGTAAACCAGGGTGCAGCGGCGTCCCCAAGGCGAGGGGGGAACCGGGAGAACCCGGAGGCAGGATCTGGCCACGTTGAAACCATATGGAAGAGCCAAGTGGAGGCTGCCACTTGTCACCATCCCCCCGGGTACCCCAGAGCCTGCTGTAGCACAAGACTGAAGCAAGCGAGCATGCGAGGGCAGCGGGCGGGCGCAGAGAAACATCCTATTCACCAGGAGAAAGCGCCAGGCATCCCAAGGGCAGAACTGGGGGCGCGGGGAGACACGCAGCATGAGGGGGGGGTGGCTCAGTGACCTGCTCTGGGAATGCAAGGGGACCCATCCGGCCTCCACCGCTACCCATGGGTGCCAAAAATAAGCATCCTCCTCTCGCCCATCCCTGGGAGCATCCTTTGGTCCCTGGGAGCATCCTTTGGTCCCCAGGAGCATCCTTGGCGGCAGGGCCATGCACCCATTTGGCCCTTGGGCAGAGGGGGAGCAGGATGCAGCCAGAGGGGGTAACACCACTGTTGCCTTCCCATTTCGGGTTTCCATGATGTCCATTTGTCTGTCCAGAAGGGATTGGCAGGACACTGGGTGAAGGACGGGCGATGTTGGCAGTGTGTGGGGAATTTACAGGGTGCCCGGGGGGGCTCTGGCAAGGGGTGACACTGTCCTCATGTCCCCGCAGAGCCACGTGCCCCTCGGGGTGTCAATGCAGGGGATGTCCGGGATCGGTTGTATTCAACAGTGTCTTTTGCATCCCCGAACAGATGGAAAGAAAAGGGGATGGGTGATGTCAGATGGAGTGGCAGCGGGAGCGGGGCGGCCGGGGCCAGCACTACTCGATCACCATGCAGCACGGGAGGTGCTGGGAGAAGTACTTGAAGAGCTCTGGGGTGGCACCCGGGCAGTTGGTCAGCTCCAGCTCCTCCAGCTCCTGCAGCTGCACCAGCCCTGACAGCCCTGTGGTGGTCAGCAAGGGGCAGCCTGCAAGAGGACAATGTGCACTGTCACCCCCAAAACAGCAGCACCCAAATAAACCAGCACCCCGAGAGCCCTGTTGTGGACCCATCCACAGGGAGGATGCCTGGGAGGAAGCTGGCTGTCCCCCAAGGTATCCCAAGGCTGTCCCTTTCCATTGTCTCCCCAGCCCCATGGGGTCCTGGCCACCCCATTCCCAGGATAGCAAGGGAAAGGATCTCACCAGCCAGAGAGAGGAGGCGCAGGCTGCCCATGCTCAGAAGATGCTTCAGGCCAAAATCCTGCACCTGGAAAAGAAAACAGAGTGGGAATGGGGGGGACAAATGGTGGGGACAAATGGGGGATGGCCACCATGGGGGCTCAGCAGTGCTGAGGCAGGATGCTGGGTGCTGGGGCAGGGAGCCTGAGCAGGGTGCGGGATGCTGGGGCAGGGGGTAAGGAGCTGGGTGCTGGGGCTGAGTCCTGCTGAGCTCACAGGAGAACCCCACTTCCTAACACCAAGTCATGAGGGACCCAGCTGGTGCAGGGCACCCACCCTGAACTCATGGCCTGTCCCCAGGACAGTGCCAGCCACTCTGCCCTCCCCACCATGCCAGCCAGGACAGGCACAGCCATGTCCCACACCTACCTGGCAGCACCAGCGCAGGTAGAGGCTCCGTAGGGACGACATGGTGGACAGGTAGCTGAGGCCGGTGTCGGTGATCCGCACGCACCTGATGGGACACAGGGTGACAGGGCTGGTCGGGAGCAGAGCACCCATGGGTGTCCCCAGACCATGGCCACGCATTGCACCCATTGCTTCCAGCATGGCACAGCATGGCTTAGCATGGCTCAACATGATGCAGCATGGCATGGCATGGCATGGCTTGACATGGTAAAGCATGGCTTGGCTTGGCATGGTACGCTCAGCATGATGCAGCATGGCATGGCATGGCATGGCATGGCTTGACAAGGCACATCATGGCAAAGGTTGGCACAGCATAGCTCAGGCCGGCACAGCACCATACCTGTCGAGCACCAGCTCCTCCAGCTTGTGCAGGTCACAGGCGATGTATTCCAGGGCCATGTCAGTGATACGAGGGCACCAAGAGAGGTCGAGGCTGCGCAGCTTCCGCAGGTTCTCAGCCACCAGTTCCACGCCATCATCGGTCACCTTGGAGCAGCCCGAGAGGCTGAGGACGCTCAGGTTGGGCAGGCTGTGGACCATGTTGACCACGCCGTGGTTGGTGATCTCCCAGCAGGAGTTGAGGCGCAGGGTGTGGGTGGTGTAGCCTTGCTTGGCGGTGAAGTAGGCGAGCGCCGTGTCCGTGACGTGGTAGGCTTGCAGGTTGAGCTCGGTGAGGTTGGGCAGGAGCTGCGAGATGGCGGCAATGGCGTCGTCGGCCACGTTAATGCAGTCGCTGACGCTCAGCGCTGTGATGCGGGCGTTGAGGCTGGACCACAGCCCGGCCTCCGTGAAGTCGTTGCATCCTGACAGCTCCAGCCGCACCACACCTTGCATCTGCTCCAACATCACCTGCAAGGGGCAGAACGTCAGGGCATGCTGGGCACTGCTGTCACCCTGCGCAGCACTGGCTCCCTTTGAGCCTTTCCACTGTCACCAGTCTTGACTGTGTCCAGCCTTTGCAGTGGGACTGCCCTGGTGCTGGAGCAGTGTCCTGTTCTAGGACATGGGGGGTTGGACTAAATGAACTTTGAAGGTCCCTTCCAACCCAAATTATTCTGATTCTATGCCAGCATTGGTGGGAAATGAGAGGGGACAGGCATGGATCCCTGGTCATGGCCCCTGCTCTGTACCTGGTGCTGTAGACAGGGGCAGGATTAATACCACTCCCATCATGGGCAACGCTTGGGTAGGATGTGGCCACAGAGCAGCTGGTGCTGTGTTAGGCCATGGTGCAGGGCAGGGGACCTCTCTGGGGATGTTGCTTGGCTCTGTGCAGGACCACGAGTTGCCCCATCTCCAACTGACCCACAGCCCCCTGCCAGCAGGGATGTCCCTGTCCCCAGCATCCAGCTCATCGCCCACACCCATCACCTGGTGTCATGGCCACCTCATACAGCTTTGCTTTCCCAGCAGCATGTGCAGGAAGCATCAGTGGGCAGTAAGGATGACACCCCCCGAATGCATCCTCACCCCATGCCTGCGACCACAGCACAGGCTGCAGCCCACCCTCCTGCCCTGACCACATGCAGGGACTCCCAGTGCTGCCTGCCTCCAATGCTGCTGTGGATGGGATGGCCATGACACCTTCCTGCTCCATGCCTGTGGCTGGTGAACGCTCTGCCCAAGCATGTGTCCCCAGGGCCACTGGGAGGACCCACCATTGCCGTATCTCAGCCACCCTGGTCGCCACACAGGGGTCACCTACCTCCAACCCTGCATCCGTGATGGTCGACCTCTTAAGGCTCATGGACTTGACCCCCTTCTTGGAGAGGGGGTAGTTGTCAATGAACTCACAAATGTCCAGGTCAGAGACACCCACGAGGCAGAAGCCTTCGAAGCCGCGGACGGCAAAGCCCTGCAGGCTGACAAATTCCTTCTCCCCACCAGGCAGGACATTGTAGAGCTCTTTGGTGTGCAGGACAGGTGTCAAGCCCACCCAGAACTTGGGCTGGTAGAGCACCCGCCGCCATGCCTTGCACACCTGAGCCAGCACGCACTTCTCGCACGCCGAAAAGTACCAGAACAAGCGGTTGAGGATCTTCTCGTCCACCGCCAGCTGCCTCTCCGAGGGCGAGCCAGGCAGCCGCTCTGGAGAGGGCTGCTCCGAGCCTTCGCTCGTATTCAGTCCCACCAAGGAAGCGCCGGGAGGGGAGGAGACGCCTGCCAGAGTGGCCAAGGAGAGTGGGGAGGCCAGACTGGGGATGGGCAGGTCGCTGCGGTGCGCTAAGGCTGGGCTGAGGATGGCAGGCACGGAGGAAGGCTGGCACAGGCGGTTTTTGACAGCGGGGGTGCCTTTGGTGATGCTGGCGGAGCCGAGGCCGTTGGGTTGCGTGGGGATCTTCACCAGTCCATTGCGGGGCAAACATGGGGGCTTGGTGTCGCCGTTTCTCGGGTTCGACATCTTCCACAGGTCTCTCTGCAACACAGGGATGAGGGCTGAGAGGCTGCTGGTCTGGCAGGGAGAGCAGGCAGGAAGAGTGGACAGGGCTGGGGGACATCATGGCACCAACAGGGAGGGAGACCCTGGAGGTCCCTGTGCAGAGTGGCACAGGGGACCAGACAGTGAAGAGCTGCTGGGCCCCGAGTGGGATCCTCCAGGAAGCTGCATGGCCCTGGTGTCCCCCATAATGGGGGTGGATGGGGATTTATCCCCAGAAATTCCCATCCCTCTCAAAGCCTGGGCTCCAGCAACCAGTGGCAGATGGAGCATGATCATAGAATCATGGAATAGTTTGGATTGAAGGGACCTTAAAGCTCATCCTGATCCAAATCCCTTCCAAGGGCAGGGTCACCTTCCACCAGACCAGGTTGCTCCAAGCCCCGTCCAGCCTGGCCTTGAACACTGCCAGGGATGGGGCAGCCACAGCTTCTCTGGGCACCCTGTGCCAGCTCCTCAGCACCCTCACAGGGAAGAGCTTCTGCCTAAGAGCTCATCTCAAACTTCCCTCTGTCAGGTTAAAGCCATTCCCCCTTGTCCTGTCCCTACAGGCCCTTGTCCAAAGCCCCTCTCCAGGTTTCTTGCAGCCCCTTTAGGCACTGGATCTGCTCTAAGGTCTCCCCTTAAGGAGCCTTCTCTTCTCCAGGCTGAACAAGCCCAGCTCTCTCAGCCTGCCTCCAGAGCAGAGCTGCTCCAGCCCTTGCAGCATGTCTGCGGAGGGCAGAGCAGGCAGTGGTAGTGGCAGAGCTGCCCATGCTCACCGTGCCAGCCAGGCACTGGGCAGTGAGCCCATGCCTGCCATAGCCCTGCTGAGCCCTGTGGCAGTCAGGCGGCTCTAGCAGAGCAGGCCAATAAATATTGCAGTGGCAGTGCCCAGCTTCCAGCGCCCTCCGTACCCACCATCCATTATTCAACACACTGTCCTCTATAAATACAGAGGTGAATAATTGATGGGGGCTTGCTCCCCCTCCTCCCCCAGCTGGTGCCTGGGGATGAGCTGGAGCCCAGCAAAAGTGGCTTCCAGCCCAGGGACCAGGAAACAGGAACATGCTTCCCAAGTCCCAAGGGATGGCTGGCACATCATCCGGATGTGTCTAATGTGACCTGAGGACTCCCTCCATTGCCAGCTTCCCCCAGACCAAGCTAAAAGTGAGAGTATAATTTTAACCACTTGATTTGGGATGGAGATGGCCAGGCCCTGATGGAGGGGCACCGAGGGAGGAGTGTCCCAGCTGGTGATGCTCATAGCCCAGGTCCATGGGCTCTCTGGATGCTCCATTCAGTCTGGGGGAGGTGGCTCCTAAGTGGGGTGCAGCCTAGATCCCTGCTGCCCCCAGCCCATCACTTTCACTCTCACAGCACCCTCACAGCCCTCCTGGGTCAGCCAGGGCTGGGGGGTGAATCAGGCACCCAAAAGGCACTATGAAATTTTTGGCACAGCCACAAAACCCCATGGGATGTGTGGGACATGGCATTTCCTGGTGATATCAGGACAGGGCTGTGCGAGAGGACTGGTGGGAGCTGCTGAAGCCTCTCCATTAGTGTGAGTGACAGACAGCCCGGCCTGGTGGCCTCTGGGGATGAGCCCGGCCCTGTGCAGACAGTCTGGCGCCACTCCCCACTCGGATGCAGCCTCTGCTGCCTCTGCTCACTCTGCCCAACAGAAGAGCTGGGCCTCTGACGCTTGGACATGTGTTAAATTCTCTTGAAAGCAGGAGAAGAGGAGGGGAAAGAAGGAAGAAACTTAAAACCAGCAGCTCGGTGCTTGGCAGCAATTAGGGAAGCAAACAGAACATGCACCAGGGTGTCTAACACAGCCACACAGCACAAATCCAAACAGATAATTACCAGGCGGCACGGGAAGGCTGTCGCTCCAGCGTGGAGCCCACAGCCAGAGCCGTTCAGCACGCTGGTTGTCCCCAGGGGAGAGGGCAGGTGGTGGCACAGGGGCAGCCCGGGGTCTCGGGAGCCCCGGAGGACACTCATGGGAGGAGACAGATGCTGACAAGTCGCCGGTCTGAAATGCAGCCAGCGGGAGGTGTTGGCAATGGTTCCAACCAGCTCAGACCTCGGCTGGTCCCTGAGGCCGTGTTCAGGGGGGCTGAGTGGATTCAGCAGCTTTCCTGTCCTGCCTTGGAAAGCTGAGCCAGGTCCCCCTGCACCAGGCACTGGGGCCGCCTGTCTGGCTCACAGAAACCCTCAAGTGTGAGTGAGCTGGGAAGTCACTTCAAATAGACAGACAGGGATTCAGGGCTTCTGAGCACAGGGAGGCTCCAACCAGCAGTGGTGGGAGCCTAGGCAAGGCTCTACAGGGAAATGGGCAGGCAAGGTTTCGGGGATTCCTACTACCCCAAAAGGAGCAGGACTGTGCTGGGGTGAAGAACCTCAGCTTGGAGAAGGTGTTCTGAGAGAAGGTGGTTCTCCACTCTCTCCTCTGTCTCTGGTACCATGGGGCAGCGCTGGGATCTGCCTGCTACTGCTGCAGGAAAGCCCTTGCCTGCAGCCCCAGGTTCCTGCAGGCCACATCACTCCAATGTACAAAGTGCAAGTACCACATCCCATGGATACCAGAGCTGCTCTATGCTGGGAAACCCAGCACATATTCTGCCCTGCCCCAAGACCTCCCTCCAACCCACTGAAACAGCAGAAGGAGAGGGAAATACAAAACTGTATGCCTTGGAGATGTCAGTACTGAGCCCATCTGATGTTCAGGCATTTCTATGAGCACCTCTATATGCTTTTTGGTCACCCCAAAACTGCAGGAGAGCAGAAATTTGGCCTTTCTTCCTCACCCCATAACTCACTGTTTGCAGGTTGCATGACTGGGCCAACCACAACATCATCAGGATAGGTCAGCATTTGGTACAACCATTTTTACTCTGGGATTCCACAGGAAGGGCCCAGCTTTGCATGGTGGTTTAGTGTGAGGTGTCCCTGCCCTTGGCAGGGGGGTTGGAACTAGATGATCTTAAGGTCCTTTCCAACCCTAACTATTCTATGATTCCCCCCAGATGCTCCCTGCAGCTCTCACAGGCCACAGCTCATGGGGGAAGCACCTGCCAGCAGTGGAGTGCTAGCTCGCAATCCACACTGGGAGGAACCCTGACAAAAGCAAAGGGCAAAGTCTTTCAGTCTTCCAAATTCACTCCAGGGTGCACATTTCACAGGAAACGTCATTGCCACAGAAGTCACTCCATTCATAAGGGTTTTGTCATCCACAATGAGCAATGGTGCAGTGGTGGGGGGCGGATTTGACGCAGGAAGAGAGAAGAAAGAAGAGGGCCGAAGAGCCTGTCACTACAAACATTACACAGACAATGAAGATGCTGGGGAGAATAGGATGAAAGCTGCCAGGAAGACAGTGCTTGTCCAAGCTGTTGGTGAGTTTACCATCTCCGTGTAACGTTGAAGAGGAACGAGAGCCTCAAGAGAGAGGCAGGATAACCAGTCACCCTGCTAGTGCCACCCCTGTGAGGGTGTTCGCTGGGAGACCCTGGGCTGTGGCAGATGAGACCGTCTGGGCAGAGAATGTGAACCGATGTGCCCAGATGGCCGGGTAGAGCGGTTCAGCACCACAGACAGCGGCCTGGCGGAGTTCAGCACCGCGGACAGCGGTCGTTTTCAGGTGCCGTGGACAGCTGCACTGTGCCTGGGGGCCGCGGCACCCCAGGAGGGCACGCCACAAACATGCCCGTGCGGGACCCCTCCGCCCCAGGGGCCCCCTGCGAGGACACGCCATTCCTCACCAGGTCCCTGTAAGGACCCACCATTGCCCTTCAGGTCCCTCTGAGATCCTTGCTATGGCCCCAGCAGGTCCCCGCAGTCCTCTCTCTTGCTGCAAAGCCTTGTTATTGCCCTGCCAGAATCCAAACCTGCTGCAAGATTCTTTCTGTAGAGCCACTGCTTCCGTGACAGAGCTGCTTGGCAGCAAGCAGCCATCACTCATGGCTTCCTGCACACACACACACACACACACACGCACAATCACACACACACAATCACCTCGTCAGAGTCCCAGGAGCTGGCAGATGCACCTGATGTGAGCCTTGGTGTTCAGCTGCACACATACATGCACACATCCACACACAAACAGAGAGAAGCGCATGCACACACACACACACAGAGGGTTGCATCAGCTGAATTCATTAGCCCATCTATTTTTACTAATGCAGCAAATCAAGTTGATCTACAGGCAGAGAAAACACACCCGAGATGTGGTGCTGTGGCAAGGCTTTTGTCCAGCACTCTTGCGGGGAACAGCTTTCCAGGACTCCCTCAGCTCTACGCAATATCCCAACCACCAGCAATGCCAGGCAAGGTCTTGCTTTGGAGGGCTGAACCTGCAGGCCAAAGTTCATGGCAGTAATAAAGACATCTCACTAAAAAGATTGCCTTCCCCAGCAGCGCTTAGTGGGGTAGAAGCTGGCTCCTGCTCTTATCCACCAAGTCAGACCACTGCCATGCTCTGAGTAGTACGTGTATGACCACTGGCCTCCAAGGCCAGGTCGCCTCAGAGGGCTTGGATCATTCCAGGAATGTGAAAGAACTACAGAAGGCCCTGAGGAGCCACTGGCTCCCCTGGAGTTGGAGGGACAGTGGCTGTGTTTGGGGAGAGAGAAGCTGTACTTGTGTGTACAGAGGTGGATCTGCAATCCAGGACTCAGCACTCACCCAAGTCAGCTGGGAGAGAGGCTCAGAGCACAGCTCCAAACTCAGTGCCACCTATTCCACCACCACACAAGCCAGGAATTCATGGTGGGGAAAAACCTTGCTGCTCTGTGTGGCCCTGGAGACCTGCCATTTGTGTGCTGGGAGCCAAGAAACTTCTTCCCAAGATTACCCTAAGAACTCCTTGGGAGTCTGGAGGGCTGAGACCAGCTTTCCTGCTCCCTTGTTGGCTCCCAATAACACCAAGGAGGATATCCCACCTTGCAGTGGTCAAAAAGGCTGGGAAAACAACTGGTTTGAGTCCCATTCCTGTTGGATGCTGCTGTCAGTGGTGGGCTGGGTGGTAAATCCATTGCAGAGTCTCAGGCCAGGCAGTGGAGCTGTCACAACCAGGCATCCCCAGCACTTCTCTGCCCCAGGTCCCACAGCTTTAACAGCAAGACCTGGAGCCAGGTTCTGTGGGGCCAGCCCTGTGCCCAGGGATCTGGAGAAATGCTGGCTGAGGGGCCCAAGCCAAGCCCTGCTCCAGAGCTACCACATTCTGCTTGGCTGAGAGAACAGCTCATGTCCAGGAGCATCAGGAGATGCAGCTCCTGCACTCAAGCCCTCAGCATGGGAAGCTGTAGGGAGGAGGCAGAGCACCAGCACCCCCAGCCTGGCCAGGCAAAACTTCCTTGCTCTGGCTGCCACAAGCCCTTCCTGCAGCAGCATTTATCTTCTCTGCTAAGACCCAAATCTCCTACGACATCAAGCCCTGACCTCCCTCTCTATCCCAGGCAGCCCCACATCCCCTCAGGAGGACCCCCCTGCCCAAGCAAAGCACAGGATGCCCAGATCAGGGCAGATCTGGACCTCAGCCTCCTCTGGAGGTCCTGGCTCTCAGCACCATGGGAGGATGCTTGTGCTTCAGCCTGGCTCCCCACCAGCTGAGGGCAGGGGAAAAGGGAACAGCTCCTCTTGTGACAGTTCCTGCCCAGCCTGGCCTCCCCTCACTACAAACCCAGCCAGAGCTCAGCCAACAGCACCAACTGTGTTACAGCCCTTCTCTTTGTCCTTCTTGGGCCCAGGAAAGGGGTGAACAAAAATGCAAGATCCCACAAGGAGAACGGAGACCACGGCCCATGGCTGCCGCTGAGCCCCCTCTCCCCAGGACACAGATGTCCCCTTGGGCACTACTGGGACTTGAGTCTCTTCTTCAACCCCCTTCATCCCTCCAGAGAAGGCAACAGCCATGCAAGTAGCAATGCCCTCTGCCCTGGGGCTCAGGAGTCTGACCAGGAGCCGGGGTTGAGGCAAGGTGGCCAAAGACTTTGCCAGCATGGAGCTAACAGCACTAGGGTCATGGGATGCCGGGGCATTCATTGCTCCTTGCTGCAGGCAGCTGTGAGTGCTAAATGCCAACACAGGCCCCAAAAAGCTGCACCCTGGAAGCAAAAGCAAGAGCCTGATCCTGTTCCCCCAACCAGGAGCTGGGCACAGGTCACACTTCCAACACGGAGAAAGCCTGGAGAAAGGGCTTCTGATGCCCTGAGCCCTCAGCACTGGTGGCTGTGGATCACCCAGAACAAGCGTGGATGGTCCCTGTGGTGGGTGGGCAGAGGTTGGCTGCAGGTGGGATGCTGCTGAGGGAGCCCTGCACACCCGCGCACTCCATCCTTCTCCCTCCCACACCATCGACACCCACTCGCATCCAGAATCTCCTTTTCCCTTCTCCAGGTTCTGCTCCATCTGCACAGGCAGCGGTGGGGAGCAACAGACCATGGCTTGGAGATGGCTTGGTAAACTGATGTATGGGAATGGTGCTGTGGTTTTGCCATCCAGCTGCCAGAGTCTGAGCCAGGCACAGCTCAGATCTGCAAAGCATGAAGGCAGGATCCAGCCCCCCAACTCAAAGTGATTCAACTCCAGCCTTTCTCCTGGCTGGAGCATGGTCATATCTCCATGGGATGGTCAACATGGAGGTGACCCCACCAGAGAGGACAAGGGGATCTTTTCCCTCCATCTGCCATCCCATATGTGCCACACGGCCCAAGAGAGGATCCCTCCATCCGCAGGAGCAGGATCTGGGGAGGCAAGAGGTTCCCAGCACTGGGGATGCTTATCCTGCTGCTCCTGACTGCATGGGGAGCTGCTGGCATGGGGAGTGGAGCAGGCCCGGTGGATGGCGAAGGATCGATGTGGGGGAAGCCAGCTCGGGGAAAAATAGATATCTAGCTCATTAAAAATGGATGCACAAACGAGTCCTCCCCACTCCAAAGCCACCTCCCTCCCTCTTCCTGGTAGCCAGAGTGAAATCAGCAACCAGCTTTCAGAGAAGGGGAGATGCCAGCACAGCACAGCGCTTGCTCTGCGCCTGCTGCTCCCATCCTGCTGGGTGTCAAGACCCTCTGGGTACTGGGGAGGGGACCCAATAGCCCCTGCACCCCGGGCAGAGTGTGGTTATGGAGCAGGACCTCTTCTGGAGCATCCCTGCTGCAGGGACTACTACATTCTAGCCTTTACTGCCTGGGCACTGCCACGTCCCACCAGCACGGGTGGATGCCAAAGAGCCAGAGGTGCCCCGGCCCAGTTCTCCATGGCACCCATGGAGACCATGGGAGTCTCTCCCTGGTTGCTCACACAAGCCCGTGCCTCAGTTTCCCCCATCTATGCCTGGCTCAGCTGTTCCATGGGGCTCAGCCTCCCTGGCCCCAAGACCCACCTGACCTCGATCACAGACCACGCCATTTGTCTCCATCCCCTCCCCTGCCCAAACAACCTGCCCTGCTCCTTCGCCCCCATCCTGGTTGCTGAGGTGTCCCCGGCCCCACACTGGGCTCTGTGGGACCCTGCTGTGGAGTTCAGCGCCCTTGGCCCTATCCCAGCCAGGACCTTCCCTTCCTCTCTCCCATGGGCCTGGGGATGGGGGTGGCTGCCCCCTTCCCCCCCCGGCCTGTATCACCCTGCGCCCAAGAAAAGCCCCACCAAGGTGTTGGGGGGCAGCTCTGGGGGTGCCAGTGGTCCCATGGTGCCACCAAGGAGGACAAGGGTCAGTTTGGAGTGGGGGAGCAGCAGCAACCCCACACCCAGGTGACACTGTCCCCACAGCGATGTCCCCCCCACCCCAAAACATACCCCCTGCCCCCCCCCCCCCCCCCCCCCCCGCTGCCCACTCGGTGATGCTTGGCCATATGGGGCGGGGGGGGGGGGGGGATGGGGGGGATCACATTAACCCCCCCACCCCCCAGCATTCCCCCGGTCCCCAAACCAGGGCGCTGGGGGCGCGGGGAGGGGGGGGGGTGTGATGCAGCATCACTGAGGGGGGTCACACCGACCACCATCCTCGGTTGAGCTGCTGTTAGCCGGTGGGAGATGGGGGGGGTGGCGCTACCGGACCGGGAGCCCCGGGGCCGGGCCGGCTCCGCCGCCGTTATATAACGAAGCTCCATGTTGCGGGATGCGGCGGCAGGGGGTGGATGCGGTGCCGGTGTCGGTGCCGGTTTCAGCAGCACCGGCACCGGCTTTGTGTTGTGAAGGGCTTTCCCGGGCGGCTCTTACCTCCAGCGCCGTCTCCCGCAGCTCATGCCATGCCTTGTGCCCGTCCTCTCTCGGTAGCAGGAAAAAAAACACCGGGAAGAAAACCGGGAAAAATTCTCCCCCTCCAAATCCCCGCTGGAAAAGGGGCCGGATCCTGCCCGGCCCCCGCCCCAGCCCCGCTGAACAACAGGAAAAATAAGCGGGGAGGGGGGTGGGAGTGGGATGGGGCCGGATCCGGGGAGGATGGAGAAGGGGGGTCCCTCCTGCCCGCCAGCCCGGGGAGCCGGAGCTGCACACGCACACGCGCGGTTCACACACGCACACGCGTGTCAGCAGCTGAGGCTGTTAAAGAGACACGGTCGTCGGGAGCGGTAATGGATCGAGGTAGGATGGCACCGGCACCAGGAGCGGCGGTGAGGTGAGTGGCGAGGCCACCGGTGAGAGAGGCGGGGGGGAGCAGGCAGGGATGGGCTGGCAGCGGGGTGTGCAGGCAGGGGGAGAGGGTGGGGGGGAATACAGGGGTGGGATGATGGCGGGGATGGAGGGAGGGAGGGATGGATGGAGGCTGGGATGGAGGGATGGGAGATGGAGGGATGGGAGGATGGGGAGAAGAATGGCTAGATGGGAGAGGGATAAGGGGTAAGGAATAAGGGATGGAGGAGCAATGGAGGGATGAAAGGATGGAGGAGATGAAGGGATGAAGGGAAGAAGGTATGCTGGAAGGGTGGATGGAGGAATGGAGGGATGGAAGGATGGAGGAGCGATGGAGGGATGAATGGAGGGATGAGGGGTGGAAGGAGGGATGGAGTTCCGGGTGGAGTGGTGGCTGGAGGGCTGGAGGGGGGGCTGGCAGGCTGGATGGACAGACGGATGCTTGCTCTGGCTCTCTCCCCAGCAGGGTGCTGGCAGCCGGAGATCCTGGTGCAGACCCCTCGCCCCAGCAGCCAGCTCTGGCTCTGCTTGACAGCGCGCAGGGCACAGCGCGGATGGTCGCTGCAGCTCCAGCACCCCGGGGTGCTGCGGGCACCCAGGGAATGGGGGGGGGGCTTCTGCTGCCAGGCCATAGCTGGCAGCAGGGCCTGCAGCTGGGGGATGCCCCGTTGCTGCCCCCCATTTCCCACCCCCTTAGCTCAGCACCCACCCAGCAGGCCGGGGCCCAGCTTCACCACTGCTCCCCAGCCCGCAGGGGACCAGTTAGCTGCCACATTTAGACCCTTCCCCTGTCCCTGGGGAGGCTGATGGAGCTGCCTGGATCCGGCGCCTGGCTCCTGCCTCCATTATTTATAAGACAGGTCGGGTTTCGCACTGGCAGCCGGGAGGGAGCCTGTGGGAGGAGACTGGGCACATACACACACACTCACACTCACTCACACCCTGCCCAATGGGTGACCAATGCAGATAAAGGTGCCCTCCAGTGACTGTGGGGACATGTAGGTCAGCGTCCTCATCCTGGTGATGCATCTTCTCTCCATTGCATAAGGAACTGGAGGTCCTTCACCTTGTGAGCCCTTGTCCCCACCAAATGGGGTGTCCCAGGGCAATTGCCAGTCCAAGAGCAGCAGGTGGTGGTCCAGCTCCCCGAGTGATCACAGTGATTCCAGGCACAGGGAGACAGCCGAGTCCCAGAGGGTCCTTGCTGTCCTCTTGGGACTGGCACAGCTCCGTTGTCCCTAACTCCTGTCAGCTCCAGGCACAAGGCGGAACATGTCTGTGTGGCCCCATGTCCTGGGCACATTTTCATACTGAGAAGGTTCACAGCTGCTGGTGGAGCCCCTGGGCAGGAGGATTCTTCATGCACATGTTCCAAGTGGAGGAGCACAGCTGGATGGGGGTACCCACATCATGGGGTGTCTAGTGGGGTGTCCCAGCTCACCCTGCAGCCACTGGCAACTCCATGCTTTGGCAGACCCGGACCCTTGAGCCTCCCTGGTCCATGGGGTTTGTCCCCACTGGGTACCAGCAGGGTGGTGGCCAATAACCCCACACTCAGGCTGGGTCAGCAGCCAAGAGCCAAAAGACACCACTGCTCCACAACTCATCTTTACTCAGAGTGCCAGCACCCCATTGGCCCTCCAGCAGCCCCACCACCCTAGGGGTGCTGACGGGTCACACCCCACACTCCCATCAGAGCCCCATGACGACACGACCCTGGGCTGAGCATCACCAGTCCGTCAGCCGGCCCAGGGGTGAGGGAAGCTGGACCGCAGTGCGCGGGGGAGGGGGCTGTCACCGCGGCAACCGCCGTCGCCTAGCGCCGGCTGTCTCCCGGTAACCCGTCGCCTAGCAATGGGGGATTTCACAGCTCGGGATGAAGAGTTGAAAGTTATTTTTAGCCCGGGCTGTGAATCAATAGGCAGCTCCATTCGCCGCCCCGCAGGATGCTCGTGCGGGGCCTTGCTGTGGTGGTGGCAGGCGGGCTGCCATGGGGACCGCATGGCCTGGCCAGCCTGGGGTCACCACCCCGGCACAGCCCCTCGATGGACACCCAGGGCTCAGCCTCTCTCGGCTCCCCCCAGTGCCCTCCATAGGGTTCAGTGCCCCTGGACCTCCCCTGCCAAGGATCTGACACCCCAGGCCCTATGCAGGGGATGGTTGGTGAGGGCAGGGTACCAACTGGACCATTACTTTGCTATTAGGACCCTCACCTCACTGTGGGGGTCCTCTTTCATTTGTGAGCACCCTCATTGCAGCTGCTGGGAGCCTCATTGTGCCATGGGGATCTGCTCCCACTACTGTGGTCCCCCACTAGTCCACAAGGGATGTGGACAACCGTTGCCATGGGGACACTCTCCTTGCCATGGGAATCCTCTTTATGCTGCGGAGACCCTTGCCTTGACATGTGGACTCCTCTTGCCCATTGCACACTTGCCCTGCCACAGGGACTCCCATCTTGCCATGGGACCCCCACCTTGCCATGGGGACTCCTTCCTTGCCATGGATATCACCTTTTTGCTGTGGGGACCCTTGCCCTGGCATATGGACCCCCTCTTTGCCTTGGGGACTTCTTCCTTGCCATGGGGACCCCATCTTTGCCATTTTACGGGGACCCTAATCCAGTGTTTCCCCTCCTGACAGCCTCCCTGAGCTCCTCCAGGGCTCATGCCTGCCCTCAGGGACACCAGCCTGGGGGTCTGGATACTCAGTGTTAGTGGGGGGGATGGAGCCTGCTCAGCACATGGGTTCCATGGGGAAGGGCTGGGGGTATCCCTAATTGCCCCCATGCTAGGCTGGGCGTTGAGGTGAGGCTCCTCAGCTATTTTTGAACGATGAGGTGGGTGCCTGGCACAGCTGCTTCTCCTTTGGGTGCTCAGCTGAGCTCCCACGCAGCCGTGGGAGGCCAGGCAGCAGGATGCAGAGGATGGGGAACCCCAAAAAGGGGGCTCCAAGCCTCTGAGGAGCTCCTCCTGAGTCCCCTTTTTGCCTTTGCAGGAGGGTTTTTACCTCTGGGCCCTGGGCCCTGCCCTTGCTGTCACCCCCCCCAAAGCACAGGAGCACCCAGGGCCCCTTTGTCCCCTCTGGTGAGAGACACTCCATCCTGAGGCACATGTTTAACGCTGGGATCCCAGCACAAGGCAGAGCTGGAGCTGTCAGAGAGGGTCCAGAGGAGACCATGGGAATGGCTGGGGCTGGAAGGTCCCTCCTGCAGATGAAGGCCGGGAGAGGTAGGATGGGTGAGCCTGGAGAAGACATTCTGGAGCCTGTCAGTGTATGAGGGGCTGGTAGGGATGATGGAGATGAGAGAAGGGTGACAGCTTTAGGCTGGAAGAGGATGAATTTAGGTTGGATATAAGGCAGGAACATGGGGTAGAGGGGAGCTGCCTCCTTGATTGAGGGGAGATGTCCGTGCTCAGGGCAGGGCTTGGACCAGGGGATCTGTGAAAGTCCTATTGGATGAGCCCATCCCCTGCCCCGCGGCGGGACGTGGGTCCTGCTACAGACACGCCATCACCCTGAGACCCCGGCGTGTCCAGCCCGAAGGGGTCCCCGCCGGGGGCGGCGGGAGGAGCAGCCGCAATGACCGTGGTCACAAGAGGGCACTGCGAGATCTAGCGTCCCGGGCACCGGACAGGGGAGGGACCGGTGACCGGAGCGGCCCGGGACCCGCTGCCGGGTCCCCTACAACCTGCTCGGGCAGGTCCCTGGGGGGCAGCCGGTCCACGGCCCCGCAGCCCTCCCTCTGGCAGCGGGGACAAGAGGATACGGCCAGCGGGGACACGGGGTGGCAGCTCCTGTGAAGCCCGGGGATGCTCTGCCCCACGGGGGTGGGGCTTTGCCCGGTCCCAGCTCAGCCCCAGCTCCAGTGGCTGCTCACTGAGTGCTCCGGCCCCCCCAAGGCAGTGCCCGAGGCCAGGAGTGGCCCGGGGTGGACACGCCAGGGGTGTCCACGGTGGCTTTGTCCAGCTGGGGCCAAGGTTCCTCCCAAAACACCGCGTTAAGGTGGATCGGGGATTTCCTCCCCCGCCCGGGCTGGTGGTGGGGGTTCAGGGTGCAACACACCCCCCCCCCCCCCCGGGATGCTGCAGTGGGGCTGGGTCACACTCACCGCCGTGTGCCCATGCGGACGCCGGGATCCAGCCTGCAAATGGCAGCTTCCCAACTCCCCGCACTCTCGTGTGTCCCAAGGGAACCCCTCCCGAGGGACCCCACGGGACGGTGGGAGTCAGTCTGAGTGAGGTCCCTGCCTGGGGACACCAGAGCCTGGTGCCAACTCATTGCGGTGCCACCTCGGGCACCCGGCGGGGTCTGTTTGTGGGGTCCCTGTATCCCATGCCGGGCCGGGAGCACACCCGGCCCTGCTTCCCCAGGAACCAGCCCCGGGCCACATTCCGCCGTGCCGGGGTCACTGTGACCTGCAGTCGGGCCCTCTCTCCCAGACACCCACGGTAGACCCCAGCACAAGGCTCAGTGGGTACAGAGCCCCACACGCAGACCCCTCAGCACCCCGAACCGCCCACCCGCCCCGCTCCACCTTAACCCGCAACCCCTCCGGCCCCTCATTTTCCACGGATTCCAGCATCCTGACTTGTTTCAGCATCGCTCCATGGCGGGAGGGCCGCGAATCCCCCTCTCCCGCCTGGCCCCCTCCCCTTCCCCCCCCTTCCCCTCATTCTTTCCACCCTCCAAATTTACAATCCCTCATTTCCATTCCGCTCCACCCTCTCGCTAGGACTTTGTTCCCGGCCTGTATCATCCCATCGCAATTGTTCCCTGTTTATTTCAAACGTTTTGGCGGGCTGTCACTGGATGGACACTTAATTAATTGTGGGGCTGGCACAATAGCGGCTGGGGGGTGTGTGTGAAATCCCAAGGGAGGTTGGGGGGGGGTTGGAAGTGG